TGAAAATATAGTGTCCTCATACGGCTGACTATGTAGATAATTTTATAAAGAAAGCAGAGTATGTGTTTTGTTTGGCATGATACACTGGGAAGCACCGGGAATGTCCTTTTTAAAAATTCTATTCGATGAAATCATTTCAATTGAAAGATGATGTAAAGAACAAGCATATTCAGAAAAATGAGAGAATGTTCCTCAACATTTAGTTCCTGGGCTAGACTCACATTTGTGGTCATTACCCCCAAGATGATTCCTGGCTCGAGAGTGAATGAATGACCCTGGAGTAATCTATCTCAGCAACATCAACCACCCCGTAACTAATCTCTTATGACTAACTCGAAGTCATCTCATCTCTTATGTCTATGTCTTCAGCCTCAGTCTCAAGTCCCAGAGGAGGTCTCTCCATTGAGTTTATGCTTTCATTCCTACCCGATACCTGCTGAGAAACCCACAAAGGCCTCTACCACATTTTCTATCCACAGTTTCTTTTCCCACTCCAACCCACCCTACATTTCCGTCTCTGAGTAATCTTGTCAAAAGTATTACTTTGAAAAAGTGCCACAGTAATGGCTTGGGATCCTAAACTCCATACTCTAGCATTCACAGTCTTGGCAAGACATGGCTTTGACCTATCTTTTTGTAACATACTGAGCTTCAAACATCCTATTCTCTTCCCAGATGTAATATCTCATGATCCTGGACAACCAACTCTCCCCACACTTTTCTTCCAGCTGTGCTCTCCTTGCCTTTCTTTTTGCTGGACACTTCTCAGTCCTTGCCTCAGACTCAACTCAAATGACATTAATCCCTGAAACCTCCTTGATTCATCTTCTTGGACCCCAAACAATGATAATCCACTCTTCCTCATATGCACACTTTGCTTATAATAGGGGAAAAACACTTTGCTTGTTTGTTATTTATGTACATGTTTTATCTTATCAGATTGCATGACCAACAAATAGAAATTGTTAACTACGTTCCTTACTGTGCCTAGCACAGGGCTTTACATATAACAGATGCACATTAAATATATGTTTTGTGAATTAAAAATTAATATAATGACCAAAAAAATGCTTTTCTGGCAATTCAGGAAAGTATGGATGTTTTCAGAAAATAAACTCAGGAGGAAAACAGGAAAAGCAAGAAATTCTTCATATTTACAGAGTGACAGCCTGTGATTCAAAATTATCACAAAAATAATTCACA